TTTTTGTACATGATAAATATATGCTATGTTAAAAATATAAACTTATTTAATTTTGATAATTTTGATACTTTTGGTTCAGTATCGGTATTGCAAAGTTTCATACCGAAAATTTTCGATAATTACTGGTACCAATACCAAAAAATATTTTCGGTATCGATTTTATGAAATATTGTATTGAATGGTACCGATCGAAATCCTATAAATATGTATATATTAAACAAATATATAAAATGTAATTTAATAGAAAATATAGAACATATATTAATAATTCATTATAATAAGAAAAACTTATATAATACATATGTCAAATAAGCAATATACAAGATAATTAAAAAAGCAATAAAAAAGATAAAAATAACAAATGTTTAAAACAAGATAAAAAAAAACTTATAACTAAAAGCTTATTAAGCAAAATAATTATAATAATTATTAAAAAATACAATAAAAAAATATAAATAAAACATTTAAGAGTCTAATCAAAACAATATTTAAAAATCATATCAAAAGTTAAAAAAACATATGTAAAATAATATAAGAATAAAAAAAACTAAAGAAACAAAGACTATTATAAAGATATATAGATAGAAAAAAATAATAATATAAAAAAACAAATATGTATTTCAAAAATATGATTTAGAAATATAAATACATATATAGAAAAATGAATTTATATTTTTTAATAAATATTATATAAATATTATTTAATATTATTAGTATAATTTAGATATGCTGGTTTGAACTGTTATAACTTATATTTATATAGAATAAGTAATAAGTTTTAGCAGTGAGTTATTAGATAGTTATACTAGATAATATTTAATATATTAATAACAGATAAACATTCTTATATATTAATCATTTTTTTAAAAAAATTAATAATAAATTAAAACAAATATTTTTATATTATATATATTTATAATATTTAAAATTTATTTTATTTATTTATTTATTTTAAATTATTTATATCTAGCTTTGTAAATTTCTTATAAAAATTTCAACTATTATTTCAATATCAAGAAAAATCAAAAGAGACTTGTAAAATATTTAAAATAAAAACTTTGAAACTTATTTTAAATATAAAAACTTATTACAATTTGATATATTAAATAGTTATATATACTATTGAATTAAAAAAAAAGTAAGTTGATTTAATTTTTTAAAATTGATATAGACAAACAAATATAGTAATTTTTTATACTTTTTCAACAAATAAAACTTATTTAGTAATTATAATTTTAAATTCAAGATTTAAAATAGAATATTATAGTATAGATAATTGAGAAAAATGATTGATTGATTGAATTTATAAAAGATAAGTATATTTTTTAATTTTAATTTTATATTTATTAAATGGATAATTATGTTTATTAATTATTTGAGTTAAAAAAAATAATAAAATTACAACCAAATTATTATTTTTTATTAAACATTGGTAAAAAAAATATACGATTGTGATTTTTGACATTTTGATTGGTTATTAATTTATCACAGTAATTTTTTTATTATTTAATGTTATTCGTTTATGACATAATCTTTTTTTAGTAGATGCCTTCCAATATAAACGTTCAGACGAGATGGTTACCTGCCAGGTGGGAATCTGTCAAATTATGTTAATTATACAACATCGTACATGTTTTTGAATTCAATTACAGTATGTGGAATTTGTTGCGTAATAAGTTTATTATCAAACTATTTCCCATGATATAAGAAATACGTAATTGGAATGATGATATACTGTATATTCACAACGTTATAAAGTTTTCGAATTGCAGGTCAAAGTGTTACTCTTCCTTCGAATTACTTGTAGTAAAAAAGCGATATTTTTCATTTCTTCGAATTTACTTGTAAAAAGATGAGTTCATCTATTGGTAAGTTTTTATCATAGTTCATGAATTCTTTGTGTCAAAAGTGTAAAGCTTGCTTTTATTCTTTCTTTAGGCCGAGAACCAAATTCTTCCGTGGTGTTTCACGCTTTACCGAAACACGACAAAGATCTTCCAGCTGAAATTACTGATGATGACAGGCCCCATTGGCAAGATCGTGAGCATCTTGTTTATCCGCCAAATGTAAAAGATCGTAAAGGTGAAGGAACAAATCAATATGTTCAATCTTGATAGAATACATATAATGATGCTGACACTTTTATTTAATTATGTACTGTATGTGTATAAAAGGCATTGTCGGACATCTAGAAAAAGATTTGGAAAAAGAGATGCAGAATAGACACAAGGGTGACGGCGACGATCATAAAAAAGATGAAAGTGTTAAATCCAATGAGAAACCGAAATGCAATAATAATAACGAGCAGGGAAACCAATCTTGAGTCTAAGATGTGCTTTATGTGCCGAACGAGAGGGACGATATTTGAATCCAAATTGAGTACAATAAATACACTATACACTGTACATGATAACCTTAAATCAGAATTCATTAAATAAACTCAATATTTAGATAATTTCTATTAAATAATTAAAAAGTGATGACATAAATAATATTTATTATTTTTTATCCCTACTTTTTTAACATGGGATTATTTATTTAAAATGATTTTTTAATGTAATAATTTTTTTGTTTTGAACATTGTCTTATACACAATATATAGTACTAAAAATCTAAAGGATATGATGTGTGTTAAAACATGCTGAATTGATATTTTTTTTGATCAATTATATAAATGGTAAATTTAATAAACATTCATTATACTGTACTATTCGATTATTGAAGTGAAAAGCTACAACCTGATTCATTTAGCAATAATGAACAGTGGTATCATGAAGGCATTTATTTTTACCACTTGCTCTGCAACCATTTAAATTTTTATATTCAACTGAACCATTTTTTTTTTAAAAAAAATATCTTAGAATACACCGTATCTTGAAGTTTTAATGCAAATCACGGTCGCCGTTGATTAACAACATTTTGATTAATTTGCCCGAAATACTGTAATATTTTTTTTAATTGACATCTCTCGGTAGCTCGTGTTAAACGTATGAATCGCTTCAATTAAGGTAAGTAATTAAACCAAACTCCTCACTATTTTTTTTTTTCTTGCAGAACAGATCTCAACGAGAGCCTGGATGATTCGAGAATCAAAGTTTAGAAACCCGAATGACAATAATTTGATAATGATGAGGATTGAACATAAAATTTCTGCCGTTGAAAACAAGATGAAAGATAAATTTGTGATTTAATTAGACATGCGAACATGTTATCATCCGGTTAATGTTTTTTTTGTGTGGCAATGCCGAGCGTGACAGTAAATCATCTCAGAATTCGCCCTCACAATGGACAGGCTGAAAGTTTTAGAATACACAATAGTTTTTATCAAGCCACATTTTTGAAGCCAAATGATTTTTGGCCTGAAGCTCGCCAATATATATATGTTCAAGCCTTTTTACGTATGTTCGTGTGTGCGTATATATCAATATTTGGGGGCTTGCATGCGGAATTTTGTACCGAGTGAACTTGGAAATTTATACAAAAATTTGAAAGACCAAATGAAAGGCTTTGGTATAAGAGAAAAACTTGATTCCTAAGATTTGTGAGAGGCAAATTATGCACTCTAGAAGGAAAAAAAAAAAGAAAGCCTCAAATTATCAACTCTTGTTCTCATTCTTGGATTAACCAGAATTTTTGTGTAGGATCGATCACATCGTGAAATAAGAAAGAATGTGCAGATGGAAAGCTTTTTGGTCAGACATTACCCTAATTGTCGTCAGCATAGGTTGAAAAAGGGGAGCTTGATAAAAAAAAGTAACAAAATAATATATCAAGTGTTTAACGACAATCCGAGAGAGTTGGTTTTACGGTTTCTGGTGGTTGGATAATGAAACAAAGTCGGGAGAGATTTATAGACTCTAAATTGTTTTATTCGTGTGACGGTCAACCCTTATAAATAATTTAACTTTAAAGACAATATACATGGTATTAATAAAACAATAGGCAAGTCATAAGACGACATAGTGTAGTAATAATTCAGTAAATAAATAATTCTCGTCAATGTCGAAAGAAAAAGGAAAGCTCGTGGATCGGGGAGGTGGTCCGGAAGAGGAAAGGAGATTGTTAAAGAAGATGGATATCAGGCTCATACCTCTGGTGACGCTTCTTTATGTTCTTAGTTTTCTGGATAGGTACGTAAAAAAAAAAACGCAAATGAAGAGAAGTAGTATTCCAGATGATCACGTTTTCCTTTAAAATTCCTTTCAAAGGGTTAACATTGGAAACGCGAAACTAGCAGATATTGAGGTCGACCTAGGATTGAGGGGTGATCAGTATAATTGGGCTATAGGAATATTCTTCGTGTACGTATGACTAATGGTTTTAGGAGCATTCGGCTTGGTGAAAATATCAACTAATAATTCGATAATAATGATAATAAAGTGGATATGTAATATTTGAAGTGCCGTCAAACATAATGTTGGTGAAGACCAGACCTTCGACATGGCGTAAGTAATCTCTCAGTTTCCAAGAATTTGAAGAATTCGCTACTAGCTAATCAATTGATTTATTTAAATCTTAGTTCCCACAATTATGATCGGATGGGGCACCGTAATGACATTAACGGCCATTGTAAGCACAATGATCCTTAGCATTAAAGATTTTCTCATTAATGAATTTTCTGCTCGTTGTTTCTCAAGGTGAAAAGTTTTGAGGGGCTGTTGGTCGCACGCTTCTTTCTGGGCGCGTTCGAAGCGGGTCTATTTCCTGGCATAGTATTCTTCATCACAATGTGGTACATACGTTCTGAACAAAACTTTCGAATTGGATTAATAGTATCAGGTTCCGCGCTTGCCGGAGCGTTTAGCGGTCTCCTTTCATATATTATTGTATTGCACTTGGATGGAACTTATGGATTTAGCGGATGGCAGTGGGTAAAGTGTGAAATTGTTTACTTTTTGGTTCATCGCGAATGCAAGAAAGAAACACCAAAAGTAAACTCCTTTTCAAAAATAGATTTTCATAATCGATGGCATTGTGACAATTCTAGTTGCCTTTATAGCGTTCTTCTTAATCACTGATTATCCAGGAACCGCCATGTGGTTAACTGAAGAAGAGCGACATCTGATCACTGATAGATTGAAACGCGACGCGGGAGATGCCTACGCTCCTCATTTCACCATGAACTACGTGTTGGAAGCCATCAGAGATTGGGTAATTGTAGTTTATGTTTAATACCTCGTTTGTGGAACAGGTTCTCGCCCATTCATGAATTACTTTGAATGACCAAGTTTTTCCATCATATTATGTTAGAAAGTGTGGAATGCATCACTCGTGTATATCGGAATCACCATAGCCATGTTCTCATTTTCATTTTTCAATCCGGCGATTGTCAATGGGATGGGGTTCGACGAAGGTAATCAATCAGTTAGTCATATTTCCTCTGAAGCATATACGAATGACTGAAAAAAATATCTAATTTATATCACTATCAAGTAACCTCTCAACTACTCGCCGCACCACCATTCTTAATTGGCTGCATAGACACTATCGTGGTAACTGTATTATCCGATCGTTTATCCAAACGAGGCCCTTTCCTCTTTGGTTGTTTGATAATTTCGATCATTGGATATATATTACTTATTATTCCTGACCTTCCTACCGCCGGTAATGATTTTTTTTTTTCTCTCTATTTAAACCCTAAAATTTAAAGACGAGATTACAAAAAAAAATTTTTTTCATGATCTTCAGGAAAATACACCGGAGCCTGCATTGTAGGTGGAGGACTATTTCCCTGTGTTCCTACAACCATCACATGGTATTTCTGATGACATATGTGAAAGTTACCCCGATTTAATTTTATTCATTAATATCCTTTCGTTTCCCCGAAACTTTTTCATTTCTAAAAGGCTGAACAACAATCTCGCAGGGAATGTGAAGCGCGCGACCGGTAGTGCAATAATGATTGCGTTCGGTAATGTTGGAGGGATAATAGCCGCTCAGGTGTATCAACCCAAGGACTCTCCGGACTACCAAACTGGTCACGTAATAACCTTGTGTTGTCTGATAGTATCATTGTTCTCGGCGGTGCTGTTCTACGTTTTTTTGAGAAGGGAAAATAGGATAAAAAATGATGACCCAGCGAAATTACTGGAAGGAAAGACCGATACAGAGATTAAAGATATGGGAGATTTGCACCCTACGTTCATTTACAGTTTGTGATTTTTAATTAAAAGAACGTGCCATTGAATCCACCTTCCTTTCGGTCATTTTCTTGACTCAGGAATTTTTACTACGCGAACGTTGGAATTACCCGTGCTCTTCACGACAATACTGCGTTCGGTAAATTTTTTTCCATAGGGTTCATAGAGTAATTATAATAAGCTTATACATAACCTTGTTGACTATTCTTATTTATCCGTGTATAATAAGAGCACATCTGTTATTATAAAATAAATCCAATTTTTTTAACCTATTCAAGTTAGTTTTGGTTAACTGAGGCCGCTTATGCAAAGTTCCTTATTGAATGAGAAAAAGATACAAGTCAATGAACAGTACTAATCTTGATTATTTAAGTTAAATAAGGTCCGAGGTTTAAAGTTTTGGCTATAGATTTTCATTTTTTCATTCAGCCTTCACCATTAAGCTTTTAATTGTTAGAAAAAAAAAATAGACTCAAATAATTGTAATTTCAAAAGGCCTGTGTGAAACAAAGTTTCGTGTATATCAAAATTAGACTCGAATAATGACACTTGCGCAAAGGAAACCTCAAAAATAGACTCGGCGAACCTTTTGGCGTCGATAATTCTGCTAGAAAAGTGCTGGGTTACTACTATTGTCATTTCTTTTATATAAATAAGAATATCACACACCATAACTTTTTTTTTTTGCACAAAGTAATCCACATTACTATTTTCGTGACTCCTAACATCTATTCAAGTAAAGAATTATGTCTCACCGTGAGAATGGGCAAGCATTGGATCTCGCCTCAACCTCTTCCTCGTCTTTCTCCTTAACCATCGACAGCTCTTTCCGGGATTCAAGATCCTCATCTTTTTCGTCCTTATATTCGGAAGAGTCCCAGCCCTTTCTCGCTTCCGATGGTCGTTCTTTCGATACGGAGTCAACGGGCAAAGATGGAAATATGATGTTACGCACTTACAGCGATAGGTATTATGTCAATTCATACAATATTGAAGATCATGGTATATCTTTCTTTGAAGTGACACGCCTGTGTTATAGATTTATTCCCACCAGAAGTAATGACATGCAGTTCGAATTCCAAAGACGCTTGGCAGCGTCTGAAGAACAAAATTCGTCAAAGCGGAAAGGTGACTTTCTGGAGAACAAAAGGAAAAAACGTATGTAAGCATTACTTGTGTGTGTGCAAAAGATCCTTTCGTGTAAACGTCGTCTAAAAGAATAACAGAGCTATTAGAGGAGAATCGTGTCCGTGAATTCATCATCCAAAAGACAATGTTCCCTCAGAAGTCTAACATGGAAATGGTCGAATCTGTTGATCCTCAATCAAGTTCTCCGTCTCAGAATCTTCTCAGGTTTCGATCTTCATTACCGAAGCGCCCTCACGTTTTCGACACACCTTTAAGAGAAGTCTATTCTACCACTCCATTTTCTCGCGAAGTTGAAGGTTTAATGATAATGCCGCGTGAAACCGAAAGAACTATTGATGATTCGCCATTTCAAATGCTTGCATTTTGCCACGAATTAAGGCTCAAGGTGAATTCTTGCTATGACGTATCTAAAAATTTCAAATTCGTAGTCAATAATATTAAAATTTACAATGCCCTTAGGACGACTTTTATTTGAATGTGGTCGATTGGTCGTGCTCTAATATGCTAAGCTTGGGCCTTGAAAGTTGTGTTTATTTGTGGAACATCGAGACGTCAAAGGTCTGTGTGATGCATAGAATAGGTTAGTCATTGTTATACTCTCAAATTTTCGGATGAATAATGCGATATCATTCTTAGATGACGAAACTGTGCGATTTGGGTGGCTCCCACCTGATATCATCTGTGAGATGGCTTCCTCAGGTATGCAATATATAAAAATATCAAACTCTTTATTCACCTGGTATAATAATGTTTCACGTATGCATTTCTTCACAGGAATCACAACTTGCCATTGGCACCGCCGAAGGGAAAGTGCAACTCTGGGACGCGTGTAAACTTATGAAAATCCGTGAAATGGGCAATCACCAGTCTCGAGTTGGTAATAAGATCAATGGATATAATGCTTTTTACGTACCATTTCTCGTGTTCGGTAGATAATTCGTTTTCTCCAAGGGGCCGCCGCGTGGAATGGTAAATTACTGTCAACTGGTAGTGCCGATCGTTACATTTTCCACCGGGATCCAAGAAGCCCTCACGACATTTTTCGTGTTCTAACCGGGCATAAATCCGAGGTAAATACATTGACGCGTGACTTTGACAATGTCAAACTTTATTTCATGTTTCCACGTGTTCTCGCAAGATATGCGGATTGAAGTGGAACCACGAAGGAGATCAGTTGGCAAGTGGAGGTAACTCCAGAGAATTATTCATATGGGAAGGAAATAATTGCTACCCGGCTTATAAGCTTGGTGAACACAAAGCTGCCGTGCGCGCTCTATCCTGGAGTCCTCATAGCCGAAATCTACTGGCTAGTGGAGGTGGTCACCGCGACCGTCGAATTTGCTTCTGGAATACATTGAACGCAAGATGTTTGACAAGTTACAATGTCAAATCTCAAGTATTTATTATCCATTATTAATAATAAATTTACTTAATAAGTTCATCATCCATAAGTTTAAATTCACGGTTCGTTCAATCGTTTTGCGTTAAAAAAGGTATGCAACCTGCAGTGGTCGCCAAGCGCAAATGAAATCGTCTCCACCCACGGATGGTGGAAAAACGATGTAATCGTTTGGAAATACCCGTCAATGGAAAAGCTTTCCACTTTGAAGGGACACACATTTCGAGTGCTTTATTTCGCTTTATCTCCAAATGGTGAAGATATCGTTACTGGTGCCGGCAGTGATGATAGCACTTTGAGATTCTGGAAGGTGTTCAACACCCCTGTAAAAAAGAAGAAGGAGATAAGGTCCGCTTTAAAGTTGGATGGTATGATTCGATAAGATGTGGAACCGTCAACCGCAACTGTTTAATTGTTTATATTTGTTCGTGTATATACTGTATGTGGTTGGAACCACACAGACAAATTGTATTTATGTGTGTATTATATTGTAAAAATGGTAGGATAATTACATCAAATTCTAATATAAATTTCTCGTTTCCAGTATTCTATAATTGTCGAAGTACTGCTGTACTTAAAGCATAGATGATAATTTAACCTTTATGGCAGGGTAATGTAAACTCTATTAAATTACCAAATGCTTAAAAAATGAGTCATATATGAACATTAAAATAATAATAATAATAATAATAATAATAATAATAATAAAATAAGGATCAAATAAAAAAAAAACAATTCTTTTCTTCAATACTTTTATTAATTCTAAACCAAGCAATTTTGTTTATTTTAACATTAAAGTACATTAGTTCTAATAATGAAAAAATATGGAATAGCCTTTTATTTACTATTCTTTTTTCATCTTTTACATATTATTTAAATAAAATACAAAAATTTGTGTCAAAAAAAAAATCAACGAAAACAAACAATTCTTTAATTATTTAATATAATATTAAATTGATGAAAAAAATTTTTCTTAATGGTAAACAATAACAACATAACAATATATACAATATAAAAAAAAACAATCTTTTTTATTAAGCAAAAATCCTTTTTTATGAAAACCAAGTTTCTTAAAAATCAAATCAACAACTATAATATAATCAATTGTTATCATACCTATTTAGAAAAATACTGTAGACACTTTTGATAACGAAAAGTTGAATAACAATTAATTATCTAAAAAAATTTATTGTTGTTATACAATTACAATAAAAAAAAAAGGTATCATTTCATTTTTTTTAATATTTATTTTACTATTCAACTTAATATTTTTTGTACGCGATTTTTTTAAATCACGATAAATAAATTATAAATTGGTTAATATTTTTTTAATGAAATATTTGTTTGAATTAATATAAAAAAAAGATACATTAGTGGATGGGGGGTTTTTTTTTTTTGGAGTTTTGAATTGGTGTTTTTCCATACCGTTGCGTGGGCAGCAAAACAATTTAATAGAAATTTTTTAAATAAACCCAATACCTTTAATAAATTCAATTAACTTTATATTATTGCGCACTTGGATTCCCATAAATGGTACTTACTATACTGTGAATCCAAATCATTGGCAAAGATGTTTCATCAACACCACTCCAGCAATTAGTTTTTTTGACTTAGTGAGTTTATTTACTTTTTTTTGTCTTTTTTTACAGTATAAGAACAATTCAGAGAAAATAAACTTGAAAAATATTTAACAAGACTTTGAGAAATATTGTACAAATAAAAGAAATAGAAAAAGAGAAAAAAAAAAGAAAAATATATATAGGTATTATACTCGGAATCGAGATTTAGTTTATGATGTTTATATTTATAATATAAGATATTTACTCTCCCATCTTCTCTTTTATTTTTTTCTTTTCCCCCCTCCCACAGGGAGAATTTATCATGGTTTTTTTTTGTTTTTTGTTTTGCTTTTTTTTTTTTCGTAGTATATGGAAATAATATTTACAATAAAGGGGTTTTCGAAATACGTAAAGTTTTAATATAAAGAATATACGGAAAATAATCGAATAACGGATTTAGAAAAAGTTCATCAAGTCGGTATTGTAGTATCGATAGAAGACGCGACATTCAATCCGCATCCGGAACGTCGTTCAATCATCGGTTTTTCGATTTTTCGGCGCGAGGAAATAAATTGAGTTCCCGTAGGGATCATGACATTCGTAGAGTATTGGCGAAAAATTCGGTCGAACTTTTTTGCCTGATGATTTCGAGTACGTGACGGTCCTCAGAGGAAGATTGAGGAACAGTGTTTTTGGATAAGACGATAAGATCATTTGTTATTGGGGCAGTAAGTTGTTGGTGCTGAATGTGATCAGCACGCGTTGAGGAACATGCAACGTCTCTTCGTTTGAAATGAGCTAATCGATGTTTTTTTATCTTATGGGCAAGTCTTTCATAATATCTTTTTGCATGTTCTGGTTCTTCGTTCCACATTTTCCCAATGATTTTCGAAGGAGGATAAATCGGGGGACTTTTGATTATGCCTTTATCCATTAATTCTTTACATTTTAGCTTATAATATAGGGCGGTGGCATTGAAAGTTACTGATGACGTTCTGTTGGGTTTCGAAGAACTCGAGATAAGATGTCGTTTCGGTCGTAAAGTTGTATCCGAAGTGGTTGCGGAAACATTAAACTGGTAGTCGTTATGGTCATTAACAGCTAAACTGGTCCTTAGCTGATTGCGATGAACCAGCACAGGGCGAAATCCATCGGGGATCCAGTATTGCTGCATATTTTCCCTGTCATACGAAAACCTCCTGAGTTGAGTTTGTAATCGTTGATGAACCGAATTAAAAGAGGTCATCGCGTCCGATTGCTCCGTTGGAGGATACACGAGAACTTCATACTGTAGAGACTTCGTAGAACTCATTATGACTAATAAGAATAAAATTATAATTAGGAGGCGAGGAAAATATGCAAGGAAAAGGGGAACGGAATTAATGAGTTCGTGGAAGAATCGGAGAGGAAGGGAAAATTGATTTGTATGAGGGTTCTCGTGTATGTGTGAACAAGATTCTATCAAATCGTTGCGTGATGAAAAGAGGATGAAACGGAAAATCGCCCATTTTATTCTTTCTGAGAAAAATTCGTGGCTTCTTGCGGTATATTGCGGAACGCTCATTTTCACAACAATGATCGTTTCACCCTTCCTATTTCGGCTTTGAAAGCGAAAGGCGAATGCTTCTTACGATAACAAAGGAGCCATTGTAAACGGGAGGCTGCATGACTAACCCGAATAATGTAAATGGATACCTGGTAACGATGCATAAGACAGCATTGGTAGAAAGAGTTGGAAGCCGTACGTCCTAGCTTGATGAATTATGTACGAGCAACAGAGACAAAAGGATGTAAACTGATGGTAAGGCGGAGTGGCATAAGATGTGCGCGCATGTATGCTGCACATGACTTTTTTAGAAGTGTCATTGTTTGAATTGATAAAAATGGATGCAACTTTGCGTTGGAGAAATGCATCTCGAGCAAGCCATTGAATTGTTAGCTTTTTTTTTTTTTCTTCAAAGAAAGATCCATTGATACGTGCGATGAACAATGAAGAAATTTGTTACAATAGGATTTTGCGTTTACAATAGGATTGCATTTATCCGCCTAGAAGTGCATATTAGTAACGGAAAAAAAAAAGAAAGAAAAAAAAAATGATAAACCAAAACGGATTACACAGAATACAAAAAAGGAATAGGTAGCTGTCATCGAATCAAAAAAAAACCTAAGCTTACCATTCCTCTTCCGGATGCGGATAACAATAAGTTGACAAATCTCCTATTGTTTCATTAACAAAAATATCGAATTTACATTATTACTTTTATGATGTACCACAAGATGAATACTTTTGCCGGCGATCAAATACGTCGAAAAATCCCAAATTTAGAGTGAAGTTAATGTGAATTGAGGGCCGGACGAATTTTTAATTTACAAATTAGTTTTAGGTTTGTGCGTGCTTTTGAAAACCTCGGTTTTGAATGTGTGTGGCCGTTGAACCAAAAATTAGATAGCCATTTATCCGAGATACAATATCAACCATATTTTTCAAACAGAAACTATGATCGTATGCATTGGAGATCTACGAGTTATGCGCACACACATGATGTATGCAGAGTAGGCTTACATTTGCAAGTGTGCAAATCAAGAATCTCGGTTCCTTTAGCGTTACTAAATTATTAAATCTACCACAAACATTGACTTTACATCATCAAATTTTCCTTAGTATTATTATCTGGAAAAGCGAACCGTGTCTTCAACAACTTGAAAAATTAAATCTGACCTTTTTGGAGTAGATAAATTTCATTCGTAAGGATGTATGTCGAATTGAATGACAGCTTTCCTTTTCATTCTCTCCTCATGTTAATTATAACTGAAGAATACAGTACATCGCATTATTCAGTTGATCCCTCGATAGAGGAGTAATGGGGTAACAAATCTTAGATTTGTAATTGACAGTAATGAGTCAAATTTTACCCGAAGGAAGGAATGCAGATTGCATACATGTCGACTCCACGAATCACAAAATATAGTAACAATCTGATCACAATCTATTGTAGTACTCAGGCGGGATTTGGGAATGTCGGAGTATTGCCATTAGTTCTTTTCTGGTCAGTTCTAACACGCATACTAACGGACACCTGTCCGCATAGCAGGTGGATTACATAATAACACAATAGATATTATTTTATCTTATTGTAATATTAAATAGGGGCTCATTGTTTTCTTTCTTTTTTTTTTTTCGAGATTTCTTTGTTAGTACGTGACTTACATGCAGCACATGAGCTAATATTACGTTCATTTATAAATATAAAATGCAAACCTTGCCTCTTTTTTGCATTCCTAGAGCCATTATTTTATTACCGGCTACACCTATTGCGAATATATTTAAATTATGGCGTATCAGATGTATAAACAATAACGCGTTAGGATTAAAATTCAATTATAAATGCAGTATAGCATATTCATTTTTTTTTTTAATAAAGAATTTCTTATAACAACCGTGCTCATAATGATTGCATATATTTATTTCATCATAGCGTATTTTATTATAGACAATAACTTTTAAAATAATCAATATTTTTTAAAAATCAATAATAATAATAATAATAATAATAATATACTATGATTTATTATTTAACTTTTTTAAAATATTGTCGGATCGCATTTTTGCAATATGAACAATTTTCCTAAAAATATTAAAATTAAAAGTTGGTTACATGATTTTTTAAATAATAAAATGTTATTGTCCTTACCATTATTGCAATATCAATTAATATTCTTGTTCCGTTTATTCTTTTATTTTATTATACTGTAATATAATTAAATAGATCGATTTTTTATTTTAATTTAACATTACAAAATATTATTATGTAATGTTAAAAAATAATTCTATTTGATCAAAATAACATTTCCAATTTTAAAAAACTATTTAAAAAATAAATTTTTGGTTTTTATACTGTTTGTTTGTTAAAATAATTATAATATTTTTTAAATTTTAAATAAAATTATAATAAAAGAATAAACAAATAGAATTATAATTAACATTATTAAACTTGATAAAAGAAAAATATACAGTCTGTAACAAAAAAAACTTGTACTTTATATCAATTTTTATTTTTTAATATTTTAATAACTAATTGATAAAATAAGATAAAAATCTATTTTAATATATTTAAGAATATAATAAACAAGTTTACTTAATAAAGTTTTTAAAATATATTAAAATTTTCTTAAAATTTAATTTAAAAAATTTTTTTAAAAAATAATTGATTTTGGTTATATTATAATATAAAAATAATAAAAATTATCAAAATTATTTTAATACATACAGTGTGAGTCATAAATTTTTGGAATTGGTTTTTTTAATATAATTTTTTTAATAACTATTTAAATATTATGAAA